CGGTAGACCTGCGAATTAACGCATATCCGTCGTGAGACGGTCGCATAAAGAATCAGACCAAAATAATTGTTTAATATAATTATTTTACACAAAAAGTGGGTATGCGAATATACTCCAGTTGACATGCGAATGCATTATGCGACGTTTATTTGTCGCAATTATGTGTGTCGCAGAATAGAAAATCTCCAAAAATAATTTTTGTTTAAATAAACTCTTCGATTATACTACGATTGTTGTGCGGTTTGTATGCGAATTTGTTTCGACTAATTGTTTAGGCGACGTTTGTATTTCGTCTAATTGTCGCAGGTTTATTAGCCTAAACTACGTGTTATGCGTTTATTGTGCGTAATATTTTTGACTAATAGTCTCAGGTTCATTTCGCCTAAAAAAGAATTTTCAAAAAATTAAATTCTAAAAAAAATTTATTATGCAACCACTAGGCGAATAATACGCGACGTTTGTATTTCGCAGAATAGAAAATTTCAAAAAGAAATAAAAAAAAATAAATTTTTCTTCATTTATATTGCACGAGTGTTTCGCAATGTGTATCGCAGAATAGAAAATTTCCAAAAATAGTTTCTTTTTCTTATTATGCACCAACTAGGCGAATAATATGCGAAGATTGTATTTCGCAGAATAAAAGATCGAATAGAAATCCCTACACTACTACTTTTACAGTCGCTTCAACCCCAGCCGATTACAAAGTTAAAAAAAAAATCGAAGGACCAGCCAAGCCTAAAAAATGCTAGGACGAGGGAGCCGACGAGCTACTAGCCTACCACAGCGCTCAGACGCCAGGAAGATGAGCTGTAGGTGGAGCTTGTTTATGGAGTTCCATGTAGAACTCCATCATGAGATCGACCCCGACCACCACGCTCTGAACCGATGGGCTCTGTCGGGTTCCGGGAAGAGATCCCCGTCGACCAAACGCCTTCCTTTGTCAGGAAAACCTGGCCGACCACAACCTAGAGAGGTTGAGGCCAGCATTGCCTCTGACAGAGGGCCGAGCCGTTACGCCCCGGCCGCCGACGCGCAACGTTCCGACCTTCAACCTTCTCACAGTTGATATGGCAATACCCGGGCCCGGAGGTTTGATCTTCATAGTCGCTGTATCGGCATATATGTTTCATGTCGGGGCCAAGTTAATAAAGTTGGATAGCGAAATTTATGCTTGTTGAATTTTTTCCTCCGACGAATTTGAAAGGTTAGGAGTTCTCAATTCGGACACAGTAATGTTAAAGAATTGCCTCACGGGTCGAAAGAAAGAATTTTTGTAACTCTGGTTTATCTCCGGCGAACTGCTTCTCATATACAAGAAAAAGGGAAAAACGGAGGGCATTATATGGATCGAAGATTACACGCTTTATATAGACGGATGAAACGATTCGCGTGCACGCTGTTACTGCCCAGGCGTTTTGAAAAGCGGATAAGACGCCTCGAAATCGGCCGTATCGTTCCAACTGCCAGCGGTTTCTAAACCATTCAAAAATTTAAATTTTAAAAATAAACTTTCGAGTAGAAGCGCGAAGGGGGTATGCGAGCAATATGCGGCATTCGCATACCCCATCGCATAGCAGAAATAACAGAAAGATGAAAGAAATAAAAAATAAACTTTCGAGTAGAAGTGCGAAGGTGGTATGCGAGTAATATGCGGCAATTCACATACCCCATCGCATAACTGAAATAACTGAAAGATGAAAGAAATAAAAAAATAAATAAAAAATACACTTTCGAGTAGAAGTACGAAGGGGGTATGCGAGAAATATGCGGTAATTCGATACCTCATCGCATAACTGAAATAACAGAAAGATGAAAGAAATAAAAAATAAACTTTCGAGTAGAAGTGCGAAGGTGGTATGCGAGTAATATGCGGCAATTCGCATACCCCATCGCATAACTGAAATAACTGAAAGATGAAAGAAATAAAAAATAAATAAAATATACACTTTCGAGTAGAAGTGCGAAGGGGGTATGCTAGCAATATGCGGTAATTCGCATACTGCCTCGCATAACTGAAAGATGAAAGAAATACGAAAAAAACTTATTATGCACTAATTCCGCGAATAATATGCGACGTTAGCATGTCTCAGTTGTGTCGCAGAATAATTTTTCGACTAATAGTCGCAATTCATTCGCCTAACAAAAATAATTATTTAATGGGCGACGGACCGCGATTGACCGAATCGTACATCGAATCTCCGAATATTCATCGTAGAACAGTTGCATAATTTAACTCATAATTTTCTCGCCCATGCTCATACCTGTCGCCTATTTAGCGCATAGTTCATCGCATATGTCTTCGTACTTTTTGGGGTGAAAAACTTAGCTTTTTATTGGGTGGTGTGAAAAACTTAGTATGACTTCAGAACGGGGTGAAAATAGCTATTTCCTCTAAAAAAAAATTTTATCCAATCAACCCCTTAGACTACGAATAACAGCAACCGTTCCAACCACCCAACCATCCAACAACCCTAATATTTAATTAATTTATCTCTCTTTCACATCATCAATAATCATCCCAACCACACCATCTCAATTTTACAAGTTTATCAGCAACCACACCAACATCCAACCACAACATTTTTTTTCTTAATTTGATTTTATTTAATTATTATATATTTTTTTATTTCATTTTGTTTTAATTATTAATTAATTCTTTTATTTGCTTTCTTTAATATAACTATATAATTATTATTTGATAATTATTTTATTTGCTTTGATTTAATATTATTATATAATTATTTTATTTGATTTGATTTAAAATAAGGCGATTAAATAAAAATAACCATATCGATTACATTAAATAGACAATTTCATAAATAGACGATTAAATAAAATAAAACCACAATGATTACATTAAATAGGCAATTACATAAACAGACGATTACATAAAATAAAATTGTATTGGCTAGACAATTACATAAACGGACGATTACATTAAATAGATGATTACATAAAAAGAGCACAATCATACCAACTAAACCATCATGGGAATAATTCCTGCATCAGGCGGTTTTTGACAACTTCTTCTTGAGGAGACAAGTTGCTTTTACCCATCAAAGTGTTGAGCATATTCATTTTGTTGTTGAGCGTGTTCAAGGCTAATTTTTGCATCTTAATTTCTCCAATCTTGTTAATTGCTTCAATTTCTTTCTCACGTGTGATCCTCATTGCATTAAGTGCTTCAGTGTAGTCATCAGGAACAACTGGGGGTTGTGATGCAGTGGCTTTTCGTTTCCTTTTTCCTTTCGCCCTGTCTCTGCCAGTAGGACGTCGAATTGTTGAAGTTTCACTAACTTGGATTTCATCGTTTGGGTCCTCATCTCCTTCGGTAGTTCTTGATCTTTTGGAGCATCCACGATCTTCTCAACATCATCATCGCCAGCATATTCTCGATCAATGCGAGTACGATGATGCTCAACACCCTATTTCAATTTCCACTTTGGATAATGACGCATAATCTTTTCAAAAACTTCATGATGCGTAAACTTCGTACCTTTTTCGCCGCTGTAAAATTTTTGAGCTATCGTTTCAACATCTGCATCAGACATACCGCTACTTTTTTGAGCATATGCTTCTTTGTAGGCGCCCAACCACTTGGTTACATTTGTGTTCAACCTCCTATAACGATTCCTTAGCGATTCAATGGTTCTTTGTTGTCCCATAAACTTTGAGTTGTCCGCACGAGCTTCCTCATACATTTCCGAGATACTTTTCCAAAATGTCTGACTATTTTGGTTCGTGCCGATAGCAGCATTCTGACTTAAGGTAACCCACGCATACATGAGTGCCAGATCTTCTTGATTTGTCCAAACTTTGGGAGTATGTGAAGTACTTGTGTTTGGGGACTGGATATTTTCGTGAGTGAGATCAATTGGAAACTGAGGGTTTGAATGGGTTTGAAAATCTTGACTATCAAGATTTTCAAGGCTAGGATAATAATCTTCGGTGTTTGAGAAAAAAATGCTTGGATCCATTGATAAATTGAGAACAATAGAGTTTTGGTAATGAAAGGAAGATGAAATGGAGATGATTTTTTGGGTGTGTGAAATATGCTAAATGAGGTCTCTATTTATCAACATTGATTGTGTTTTTTTGACATGGATTGTACTTTTTGACGAATGGATGAGATTAATTGTATTTTGATGGATGGACGAGATTAATTGCTTTTTGATGGATGGACGAGATTAATTACTTTATTGATGAATGGTGGAGATCAAACTGACATGAATTGTACCTTTTGACATGGATTATGCTTTTTGATGGATGGATAGAATTAATTGCTTTTCGATGGATGGATAGGATTAATTACTTTTTGATGGATGGATAGGATTAATTACTTTAGTGATGAATGGTGGAGATCAAAGTGACATGGATTGTGCTTTTTCACATGGACTGTCAATTGTATACCTGAAATTTATAACCCTGGAAAATTACAATATCAATTACGACAATAAGAACTTACAATATTACGACACTCATATTGAAATATTACGACACTAAGACATTACAACATTTGAAAATTACGACACTGAGAAGTTACAACATTACAATATTACGACACTAGTAAGACATTACAACATTGAAAAATCACGACACTGAGAAGTTACAACATAAGAATATTACGATACTGAGATATAACAAACAAATCTCAATTTTCACGCCCAAACTTTTGCCAAATGTGCTCGGTAAGGTCTTTCGGCAGAGCAATGTGAGCTTCTTTGCTATGAAGTTGTGACCTATTTGTCATGTAGCTAGATAAACTTGCAATTCGTTCCGTAGAGAATTCAAAATTTAAATTCTCATCATCTTCATTTTGAGGATTAGATCTTCTAGCCTCCATAAACTCTGTAGGATCACAATAGTTTAAGTAAGTGTGTCTCTCATCTTCCACTATCATATTGTGCATGATGATGCAAGCAAGCATTATTTTTCCCATCATGTCACGATCCCACAGAAGACATGGTTGTCTGATGAAATGAAGCGAGCCTGCAGAACCCCAAATGCTCGCTCGACATCTTTTCGAGCTGCTTCTTGATGTTGAGCAAATAGCTGGTGCTTCTTAATTTGTGGATGATTGATTGATTTCACAAATGTTGCCCATTGAGGATATATCCCATCAGTGAGATAGTATCCCATATTCTTCTCGTGGCCATTGACAATATAACTAACCTTTGGTGCTCGACCTTCCAAGACATCCTTGAAAACATGAGACTGTTCAAGCACGTTGATATCATTTCTGGACCCCAGAGTTCCAAAAAATGCATGCCAGATCCATAAATCCTGTGATGCAACGGCTTCCAAAATGATTGTTGCCTTACCGTTTCTTCCTGTATATTGTCCTGCCCATGCAGCAGGACAATTTTTTCCACTCCAAGTGCATGAAATCAATACTTCCTAACATACCTAGAAAACCTCTTTGTTCACCAATATGCAACAAATATGCTAAGTCTCCTTCATTCGACTTTCTGAGGTACTCATCACCAAAGTTTGAAATCACACCCTGCACAAATTTGTTAACAGATTTTCTAATAGTTTGTGCACTCATTCGAAGGTATTCATCATGCAAATCAGCTATTGTACCGTATGCCAAAACTCTCATAGCTGCAGTACATTTTTGAATTGAGGACATACCTAATCTCCCAGTTGCATCACTTTTTTGTTGAAAAAATTCTTCTGTTTCAACGAATTTACTCATTATTCGTTCGAATAATGGCTTCCGCATACGAAATCTTGTTCGAAAAACTTCTGGAGGATATATTGGTGTTGGAACATATGAGGATCTCGATATGCACAAATCACGGACAAACATTAAACATAAACCTATGCGCAGCGGATCTAAAGGTTTGATGAAGAAAACTTACTGCTTACATAACAGCCCAGCTCACCCGCTACAGAATATTGTCCGCTTTTGGTATACACCAGATCATTCCCTCACGGTTTTGCTTTTGGGAGCTAGCTCACCAAAACGCGTCCTGTAGGTTGAGGTGTCCACAACCACTTATATAGCATGCTTCGTTCTCATCAACAACCAATGTGGGACATCTTTTACTAGACTCCACCCCCCTTGGAGGGCCCAGCGTCCCGCTGGCACACCGGTCCGAGTACTGGCTCTGATACCACTGTAACAGCCCAGCTCACCCGCTACAGAATATTGTCCGCTTTGGGTATACACCAGATCATTCCCTCACGGTTTTGCTTTTGGGAGCTAGCTCACCAAAACGCGTCCTGTAGGTTGAGGTGTCCACAACCACTTATATGGCATGCTTCGTTCTCCTCAACAACCGATGTGGGACATCTTTTACTAGACTTTAAAATTTATGTAGATCTGGCTGGCCCGAACAGTTAACCACAAATCAAATCTTCTCGGAATCGAACAGACTTGACCAATCCAGAAAGCTGACGTCACGGCGAAGTCAACGACGTTGACCGATCGGAAAACGGAGGTCTCACGCGCTCTCACACGCTCGTGTAAGTCCCAGCAACTGCTTCCTTCCGGCGGCGCGTGGCGGCGCGTGCGGCGGCGGCTGGCGGCGATCTCGACGGCGATCTCTTCGTCTCGTCGTCCTGGTCGTCGTGGTATGGTCACTTGCTGGTTTTGGTCTCCGGTTTGAATGTATGATAGATCTGATTGGAATCCCGTATATACCTTAAGATCTTCTACTGTATTCTCAAACAGCTATCTAGATCTTGTATCAGTGGAGCACAAGAAATAGAACTACTCCTTGGAAGAGAGAGAGAGAGGGGGCTGACGCAATTCCCAAGGATATGGGATTGTGTTCTTCTCTTCCATGAGCCTAATGCTGTATATATAGAGCTACAGTAGGGACCCTAAGGAGAATAGGATAAGGGCTTCTAATATATTAATACTGTGGAGCAACCCCACAATTAATATATTAATAATATTAGAGTCCACCACAATAATATTATTGCACTCCCCTCACCTATCCCAAATTACATTTGAGACTCATTATAATTATTCGATTTACCTCCCCATGTTTAAGATATAATGTCCATAAATTAATTCGATCACTAATAATCAAGAATTAATTAATATATTATATTACCGAAGCTAGCGCTCGCTCATAACA